TAGGGGGATGGCAGTGTCGTGTATGGTGTTGACCATGGAAGACCGATTGTTCTTGCAAATGGCTTTTGGGAGCATAGGGTGGGGCGGGGTGTGTGTGTGTGTAGGCCGATTCCGATTGCTTCTGCTTTGGCCAGAATGCGACTCCTACCCGCATTAGATCGACGGCTGCGAACCACCTAGATGAATCGAAAGACCTCGGTCACATCAACCATGTGGTTTGACTCCACTAGGTTTAACTGTTGATGATTTCAATCACTCCAGGTCAGGTGATGATCGCGGAAGCGTTCATATAAACGTTTGCTCGTGCGGACAGTATAGGTTGGAAAATATCAAGCTATGCTGATTGTATCTCCGTTCCATTATAAACAGTGATAATAATTTGCTTGGCACTTTTGCGAAGCTCATCTCTACTGATCCTAACTTTAATAGACGTTGATATGCTGCTTTCCTGGAAACCTTAGGACTGCACACAGCAATTACACAGTATGTTTAAAAAAATGTTGTTTGAACCATCCCTCTCCGTCTGCTCCCACACGAAGGGGGAAGAGAGAACTGTCGACCTGGTGTATGATGAGCATAAAACAAGGAAAATGAGTCCTTATGCTAAGTTGCATGTGTGTGATGAAATGGCGTGGATGCCAATTGTTTTCACACAATGTGAAACAAGCCAGTGTGTAACATAGTGAAGCCAATAGTGGTCGTCTTGTTTTCCGACTCATAAACCGAGCATTAGTCTTGTCGTGAAGCTCTTGAACTCGAACTCGGGTACATCGATTTATTCATTTACTTGAGTTTCATACGTGCTCTCACGATTTTCCAGAAACCCTGAATATATCAGGGAAGCCAAGCATACATTCCCAGTTCCGCAATGTATTTTTTAAATAATCAATCAGTAAGTAGACCGCGATAAATCCTCACAGAAGAGATCAGTAGCTTTAAGAATAACTCTATCGGGCCATTCAGATACTTTATGACGGAGTAATAGTGTTTTTTACCTATGCTCAAAACGGTAGTTTATAGTCCTTTTGTATCCTGAACGTTTACGCACTGAAATTCTGGCTGCTCGTCGACTCAAACACAATCATGATAGTCGCTTTGGTTAGAATAGATTTTCCACCAGTTATGATAAAATGATACTAACTCTACCTACACAAGTGAGATTACACTCTTGAAAATTATTGATTTGTTCAGTTAAAATAGACCGATAACTCATGACTGGTAAATAAAAAATGAAGTTTCTGAAATGGATAAGAATGCAAAATACAGTTCAAATGTGCTCCGATGAAAAAAGTAATGATTTAGGATGATAAGTTTACCCCTATTACGTTGACATTCTAGTTTAAAAGGAGAATTAGATTAGCAGGAACGGTGTTTTACGGTTTACAACTTCGCAATTTGAAAAAAGAGCTCATTGATCCATATAAATACTTATTGCAGTAGCTTAAACAGTTCTCAAGAAAAAGAATCTATAATGGTCTGCGCTTATCATATTTGAAATTGTCTTCTGTTTGGTTCGTATGCCATAAATAGCTGTATACAGAGAAAAGGGTTACGTCTGTCATGAATAATAATGATAATTGGTATGCATAAAGCCGTCTTTGAACACCAGTTTAAATTGAACCCAAAGAATGTTGATGTTTAATGTGTGGAAACGGTATCTGAACATCTATCATATGAGACTAGTTCAATGCACTTAGAGACAGCCTAAGCATCCCAATCCTCTATTCAGTAACGCAGTGCTTTCCGCTTAGTATCGAGAAAATTTTCTTTCTAGTCTATTAAAAAAGTGATAATTCATGATGGATCACTATTAAACCATTGAGTTAGATTCACAGAGGCCACTAAATTTGAAGTAACCCGCTTCTTAAATCCGTTTTGTGTCTCAACATTTGGATGCTAATCTGACTAGTTATATTCGAAATCCTCTAAAATCATTTACGTAGTCCGTGGCAATCATTTCGTCCCAGTGTAAATCGATTTGTTTAACACTGCAAATGGTTTCTCAGGGACTGGTGAAACCGGGTTGCCAAACGAATTACGCAAACCAGAAAAATTGAAACAGTTTCCGGGTAACTTGCAGGCTGAGCGCACGGGCTCGAACGGGTTTGTTATCCGCACGGTCCCGTTCACTCTAACCTCGTAGTGCACGCCTGGGGAATAAACAGATAAACGTTTTTCGTTTCTCCTTTTTTCCTCTTCACTGCTCTCAAACATTCCGTGTATACTTTGCTGCTCGTTTGTCATTTGTTCCACGTAACTTCTGTCGTAACGTTCTTCTTGTGTTTTTCGTGTATTTACAAACAAAATTTGCATAATAAAATCAATAAACTACTGCAGCGGATTTAAAAGCTAACCAAACTGTACTTTTCACACATTATTGGAGGAATTATAAATAATAATTCACAGAACTGGTCAAAACATGAATGTTATGATGCAAGCTGGATTCCGGGAATGCTGACGTGCTAGACATGCAATCACACGATTAGCCACCAATAAATCTCTGAAGCGGTCTAGGTGTTGGTGCATCACTGGGGTTTAGGGTGCATAGAATCAATTGATATTTGTTTTCTCAGTTGATACCAGGGCTCGTGAATACACACTTCTCGTGGTCTATCGCTCAATCCGCACAACTATATGGCATCTAGTCACTAATTTCAAAGTCCAGATCGATCAATAATTTGGCATATTTTGAGCCTATTCCGTCTCGTTTTGAGTATGAGACAAATAAATGAATTCCGTGGTATTTTTGCAAATATTATTTTATTTAACTACTTTTTTGTATGAAATAGTAATTTAAGTCTTTCATATTATTCGGTGATTGTTTCCTGCCCAATCATTTGGGTACGACAACCAGCGTATGATTTGTGCCATATAGTTATACACGCTGGGAAACCGGTTTAAAAAATCCAACAGTCTGACATATTTATTGTCCGAACACGAGCGAGGTCACAACGTCTAGTTAGCTCTTTCTTCAAAGGTTTCTGTGAACACATTTGTTCTGCCGATTACCTCATCAGTGAGTAGTGACTGGAAGTAGTTTAGCAGCCGTTGATGATTGTTGATTAGCATTTGGCGATCGGTCAGTAGTCTCGGGTTTTACTTCATAACCAGTGGTCCAGACAAGGAAATTAACTCACCTTTCTAAAAGACTTCTAATGCACAAAGTCAGAATATCCCTGAAGATTGGACTCAATTGCATGATTGGATAGGCTGCATTGAGTCACGTGAAATTTCCCTGCTCGTGTATGAAGCAACGCAAGGAGACAGTTTCTTATTTTAATGGAAATATTACCCCATTTAAATGCAATAGAAATCTTTGTGATGACCGAGAAAGTGCACTGGACAACTGTATAGTTCTGTTTCGGGCTCGTCAGGAGTACACACTAACAAGTCAAGTGGCTGGAATATATCTTCAAACGGACTGTGGCATTGTGTATTAGAAATCTGTTGGATTCGTGTGTTTATACTCCTCTAAGACGTGAGTGATAAAGTACAGACAGTGAGTCTTATGCGATTTCTAGTGGTTGCTGAACGGTGGCCACAGGTTGCTGACAACTCGACGAAGGCCACTGAATGAATGTCACTGGCTACTGGATTGCAGGTTAACCTATAATGGTGACATGGATTTGAGGATCCCTTCAAAGATTACGTTTGAATCACGCAATTTCACATTTTCGGATATAACTTTTGCTTTTGAGTATGAGATATAGGCGAGAAAGTAGAGCCATGCTAAAAGATCATACAAATTACGGCAGTAGAAAATATTTCTTTTCTTTTCTTCTTTTTCATTTTACTTCCTTTTTTATTGAATGCACAAAGATACAATTTTCAGGATAGGGGAAAGCGGCCAATCAGAGGGGCTGCCATACAACACACAAATGGGGAAAGTCAGGCAGTGGTGGTGGAATTCGAACACTCGTCCTCCGGGGTGATAATTTGGTGACGTTACCACCGGGCCACCACCGCCCAAAAAGAGAATCCGACAGTGAATTCCAGTAATGTCATCAGTTGATGAATATGATTCTCGGAAGATTGAAACGTATTTCGACAGATGTTCTCAAGTTCTCCTCTCTCTCTGGATGTTGAAATGGTGATTATTTTAGCGTATGAACCAGAAAAGTACACAATCAATTAACTTTCTAACAGAAAATTCGGCATATTTCTTTTTAACTTAAGGAAAGAGAAATTTTCCACCGCTGATCTAATCCAGTTTCTTGCTTCCCTAGCTGGGAAAATGTGTCCCAACTGTGACGGTAAATTCGGTGAACACGCTTGTCCTTCGTGCGTCACGTGGTTTTCCTCATTTTCTTCCGGATCCCAAGTTTGCTTGCAGTTACGTACTTTGCGTTTTGCTTATATGGCAGACAGGATACATCCGGACGAATGATTGCTAGAGTAATAAAAAGTCAAGGTGGATAAACCAAATGTCAGTAGCTTGCCTCATTCTGTGTCTCCTTTCCTCTCTCTCTCTTTCACTTTGAACTTTTCTCTCTCTATTGCTCTGGTACTTTCATTTATGCACCTTAACTAGAACTTACACGTAGGTGTGTCGTTGGTTGTAGAAGTACCACGGAATTCGTTTAACAAGCCTACCATACGAAAAAGTTTGCAGTACATTTGATAGAAATAGTGATACCATGATTTATCGCGTCAAATATTTGAGAAATGTGTAAACACACATGGATTGTTTGTCAACAAAACCTCTGGATGAGAAAAAGAACGACCGAGCAAAAACGAAAGTCAAAACTTACCAGCCAATCAGATCGATCGATTAGCGTACCGCAGAATCGTCGCTACCAGACGGAGGCGATGTTGAAACTTTCTTGTGTGGTTGTAGTTTGACTTTCAGGAATCGGACTTCATTATTTTAGAACTGTGTTGGCCCATTTAGAATCAGATTGCAACCAGACGAGGGTTTCACAATGATAAATGAGGGAGGTTTATATCTAGTTACAATTTAAATGTTACGTCTTAGAAACCTTACAGTGCGGGTGAAACCGCATACAGAAGATTTACTCAGTATCTTTATAAAATGAATTTTGGATGAAAACCGAGTAACACTTGGTTCACTTCAGTTCTTCCACTATCTTCATTGTCTCTTTATTTGCCGAAATGTTCCTTTTAACAGTGATGTGATTTGAATCAACGGGTTTAGCCGTAGCAAACATTTTGATAGTACATTTCAAAACAAATGGCAAATAACATTCTAGAGAGTGTCATCCTGTACAGAAGTTACATCGATAACACCGTAGTTGTCAAAGAAAATTCAGGAATAAGCAGCGATAATTATAAATGAACACAATAGTCCACATCTAAATACATGGTTTACAATGAAATTAAAAGCCAACAACACACTTCACAATGAAAAGAGCAGATGGCTCCCTTTATCGAAAACAAACCTGGACTAGCCGATATTTACACTTTGATAGTAGTACGCTCTAGAGCGTGACGGTGATTTTGTTTGGACGTTATTTGACGTGATAAGGTGGATCCGGAAGGATGACAGAAAGGAGAAAGATGTAATAAATCTTCGGGAGATTGTGAAGTTTTTTACTCAGCCTAGGAAACCGAGAATTGTGAAAGAAACAATAGCGCAAGCCCCCGAAATTACGGGTCACGTGCCTTAGCTTCAAAAGTGACGACGTAATTCGCCTGCTGAAATTAACGACCGAGATCGGCAATCACTGGAACCTACCATTCAGCTGATTCCACAGTCTTCTATCGTAAATCCAGAACACCCACACACCCCGCTAAAAAATGTCTACCACTAAACGCCAACTCGTAGCTGATCTACCAATTGTAATGTGTGCGCAGTGCAACTTACGTGGGCAGAACAGAGCAAAAATTATGTAACCGGGAGATTGAGCATATTGCAGATTGGATCCAAGGTCAGATGAAGTAATCGAGTTCAAAGGCGCAGCATAGAAACGACTGTCGAAACCAGAAGATTGTTTTCAGGCCTAGGTCGACATCTTGTAGTGAGAAAACATTCCATCGACTGAAACAGAATACTTTCGACTGTCGACGCGTCACGAATCGCGAGATTCCTAAGGTCTGTTGAAGTGATGACGGTGTCAATTAAAAGTACTTTATTTTAGCTTGTGGTTATCCTGTTGACATGGTTGTCATTTCATTCCTTTCCCTCTAATTTTGCTCTCTTTTAAAATATTTAAATTAAGTTTGTTGTTATGCTAAATCCCTTCATAAGCATTGATTCATGTTGAGATGCAACGAATTGCGCCCATACATATATCGTGCAGTATTGCCACATGGTCGTTTCCTTGAAACCCATATTTATCGTTGAGCGATTCAATATTACGGAAACACCGAACGTAGGATAGAAAAATAACTTTGATTTGGGAAAGAGAACTACACAAATGATCTGTCGTTCTTGGATCATATACAGAAAGAAATGCTTTTACAACGAATAAGAGAAATTTGCAATTTTCGACTGCGCAATCCAGTCTGACCGTTGAGCAACTCTCCGAAGAAAAGAGAGACCTCGGTGGTTTCTCATCTCTCAACTGTTAACGTTTCAGCGAAAAACCATCTGTTCAGCCCAATTGGTAAGATGCGAATTTAGAAACACAAATTTAATTTATGATATATCGATGACCTAAATTTGCTGTACGCGCTTGATTACGTAGGCACCGAGTAATAGACGTTTGCCATAATGAACCACAAACGTTTTCTCACCATTTTACCAAATTCTTATGTAAGGGTTGTATACTTCACAATCGATTTTTCTTTCTAATCAAAGTCAAACTTGATTTTTCCGTTATTCAATGGATTGGAAGAGAAAAGAAAAATACTACCAGCTGTTTCCATTGTATTTAATATTCTCATTGGTTGTTTGTAAAAACCAATTTGAACATTACAGTGAACTGACGGTCGGGAAGATTAGGTCTAAGAGAGTTAGACCAGTTTCAACAGATAACGTGATATAGATCAAATGAGGTTACGTAATTTGACCGGCATTGCTCTATAAAATGCCGAGCGATTCTAATTCAGGTATAACCTAACGACTACCTGCATGAGTTAACTGGATCAACGACTTTATTCAGTTGTCTTGAGGTTCTTCGCCTCGTTGACCGGTTTAGCCATTTGAAACTGCTTTGAGACATTCACTAGCATAAAAGTTAG